ACTGTACTAAGTGCTTTTGTACATATGACCTCATTTAATCCGCACTACAACCTAGTGAGATAGGTGCTATTATTATCCCCATTGCTTAATTGGAAGACCCTGAAGCAACCAGATTAAGTGACTTGCCCAGGGCCACACAGATGGTAAGGCTTGTCTGATGCTGGATTTGAATTCGGGTCTTCTAGACTTCAGGCTTGATGCTCTATCTCAGTCTCTTTCAACAGTTCTTTCTTTTCTTCCTCATCAAAGTAATTTCTGCTTCCGTTTCAAGAATTTTATTCTTGAAAGTTGCCCATTACTCTTGAAATGACTTGTATAGAATATAAGGCCTTTGGATCCTTTCTAACTTTTCTCCAAAACCTTTGAATTATTCTCTTTTGTGACGTGGGATACACTTTAGATCTGAAGTGTCAAACTTGTGGCCTGGGCCTGCAAAACTCCCCAGTGGCAGTAGAACCAGATTAAAATGTAATTGGGAAATGTTTAACAAAATAAATAATATTACAGTATAACATAGATAATGTTACTTTTTGGTTTTCTGATTCAGTGTTCCTGTAGAAATCTGTTTCAACTTGAGTTTGACATCCCTGCTTTAGACTGTGCCTTGCTTTGCTTTCTTTACTCTTTATGAATTGTCTTATGGAGTGGTATATGTCAAAAGTAGAACTTCAAACAAGGTCTTCCCGGTTCTAAGGTCAGCTCTTCATCTACTGTGTCGCATAGCTTCTCCTTCCCATGCTATCATAGCCCTCCCACTTCAGTAGATACTGGGGTGCTGTCTGCTGTTGCTGGGAGTCCCTAGTGGCATGGGTTATGAAATCCTCCTGCCTTTAGTTGATTAAATGTTGTCATATATGTAAAGTACTTAGCATAGGACTGGCATATAGTAGAGGCTTAATAAATGTTTATTTCCTTCTTCTGCCTTTCTTCCTTCCTCCTTCCCTTTCTACCTCCTATGAGTTCCTGGGAAGAGATTGGATAAAGTTGGTAGGTGAAATTTAGGAATAAATTTAGCTGTGTGTCCCAACACCTTATAGAAGGTAGGGTAGATAGTTAAGGTAGAGTAAGATAAGCCACTGGACTGATCATATGGACAATGAGAAGAATTCTACTGGAGTGCCTCTTGGTCAGCTGAAAGTTCTTGGTGGACAGGCAGATTTAGTCTCCTATAACAGTAGTAGCTCATGCTTTTATAGTAATTTGAGGTTTATAAAGTATTTCATACACATTATATTATTTGGTCCTTAAAACAACTGTCTGAACTGGATGGCATTATCCCTGTTTTACAGATGAAGAAACAGGCATGGAGAGGTTAGGTGACTTGTATAGGCTCTGAGAACAAAGCTCTTGTCAGGTCTAGGCTTTGGTGAATCTGGATGTTTTAGTTTCAGAGAAGTGACTTTTCAGCTCCTGACTGTGCCTTATTTTTGCCCCCTGCTTTACTCCCTGGTTTAAAGGCCCTATTGCTTAGGCTACGTGGTCCAAATACCTGCTTGCTTGATTTGAGCTGGCAGTTTTCTTGATCCTCCGCCCCTCTCCACTAGTGACCTGGTATTTCAGTACCCGTCTTGTTTTGGCACACAGCTAGTGTGGATAGGCAGTATTCTTCTTGTTGATAGACAGTATAATTCTAAAATTAACTCCCACAGAAGGTCAACTGCCTCACCAGGTGACTGATGCCCTCTGCTGGTGTCTGAAAAACCAAATTCAGCCCTCAAGTTGTCTCTCTGATAGATGGCATGTAAGTGGATCATACAGTCCATTATAGATAGATAGATAGATAGATAACCCTACCCTATATACTCAAAGAATAAAATGCTTAACTGTGGTGTTCAGACTTATGAGTAAGGCAGTATATGATATAAATTTACATATAGCTTTATGTAGGACCCTCTTTCTTTAAACACCTCTGTGATCTGATTGGTTCCCTTGGATTCACTTATCTCTATACAGATGACTATAGGTCCTTCCTTCCTTCCTTATTTCCTTCTTTCCTTCTTTCTTTCCTTCCTTCCTTCCTTCCTTCCTTCCTTCTTTTCATCTATTTCTTTCCAATCCTATTCTTACCAGCCAATTATTAGATAGTTGAAACTTGCTGATGCACAGGCATCTCAAATTCAACATGTACAAAACAGACATCATTACCTTTCTCTCCAACAAGCCTCCTCTGATCTTCCCTATTTCTTTTGAAGGAAATGTTCTCCATCCAGTCACAAAGATCAGCAACTATGGAGTCATATTTGCCTCCTCATCTTTGTCTACCCCATATATGTAATCTTTTACTGCCTTGTCACTTCTACCCCTTCAACTTTTGTCATATCCATTGCCTTTTATCCATTTGCATGGCCACCACTCTAGTTCAGGCTCTCATCACACCTTGCCTAGACTACTGCAATAGCCACCTGGCAGCTTTCTCTGCTTCAAGTGTCTTCTCTGTCCAGTCCATACTCCACATAGATGCAAAAGTGATATTCATAAACCACTGGTCTGACCATGCCATTCCCCGCTCAAGAAACCCCAGGGCTCTCCATTGCCTCTAGGCTCAAGTATAAACTCCTCTGTCATTTAGAGCCTTTTATAATCTGGCTTTAGCTGATCAAAGTGGCTTTTTCTTTCTTTCTTCCTTCCTTCCTTCCTTTCTTTCTTTCTTTCTTTCTTTCTTTCTTTCTTTCTTTCTTTCTTTCTTTCTTTCTTTCTTTCTTTCTTTCTTTCTCTCTTTCTTTTTAAAATTAATTAATTAATAATTTTTTAGTTTTCAACATTTGCTTCCACAAGATTTTGAGTTCCAAATTTTCTCCCTCTCTCCTCTCTCCCCACCCCATGATGGCATGCATTCTGAATACCCCTTCCTCTAATCTTCCCTCCCTTCTGTCACCCCCCTCTTTCTTTCTTTCTGCGGTATCTGATAGATTACATTGCATTCTCCATCTCTCTGTCTTTGTACAAGCTGTTCCCCATGCCTTTCCTTACCTGTCTCTTGGAATCCCTTTGTTGTTGTTGCTGCTCATTTGTTTCAGTTATGTCCAATTCTTTTCGACCCCATTTGGGTTTTTCTTGACAAAGATACTTGAGTGGTTTTGCCATTTCCTTTTCCAGCTCATTTTCTAGTTGAGCACCTGAAGCAAACAGGGTTAAGTGACTTGCCCAGTGTCACTCTACTAGTAAATGTCTGAGGCCGTTTTTGAACTTGGGAAGATGAGTCTTCCTGATTCCAGGCCTGGTGCTCAAAGCTTACCTCAAGTGCCATTTTTTGCCTGAAGACTCTTCTGATCCACCTACCTGGTAGTGCCGCCTTCCACAAAATAACCTTGTACTTTTTTGTACATACTTATTTTATATCCACTTTTATACGGAAAGAAGATATGTACATGATGTCTCTCCTGGTAGGCTAGAAGCTTCTTGAGGGCAAGGACTATTTTGTTTGTCTTTGTATTGCAAGTGCTTAACATAATACCTGGCCCATAATAAATGTTTAATAAATGCTTGCTTCAAGTTTTACAAAGCTCTTTCTGCATAAGTTAAGTCCTGCAAGGAACATAGTTCCAGAAATATTGCTCTCATTTTACAATTGACGAAACTGAAGTTCAGAGAGAAGAAATAGTTTGCCCAGGGTCAACCTACCAAGTAAGTTCCCGAGGTCAAATTGAACCCTTCTCATTTGGAATCCAGTGCTGTCTCTATATTGCCTGGAACTTGCCATCTTTCTCCCTCCTAGATACTTGGCCAATGCTGCTCTTTCATGGTAAAGGAAGAGGTTAAATGAAAAAATATGACCACATCAATGTAAGAGGTGCTTTATATAATTATGTAACTAGAATAATAGAATTCTGTAGAATTTTAAACAGTGTTTATCTTTAGGTAATCACAGTTGGCTCCTGAAATGTCAGGCCTCTAGGATAACAAGATTTTGAATTACAAAATTCCTTTAATTTTTATCTATGTACTATTGATTTTAATTTGCACTTTAATTTTGAATCAACATTCAAAGTTCAAAATTGCCATAACTTATTTGTTTTTTCCTTTGACTTAGTATCTTCTTGGTGCTATTTAGGGGCTTATTCAATATAATTTCTCTCAGGCTACTCTCATGCATATCTACACTCTCTGGCTTTCCATTTTCTGATACTGTAATTTAGCTTTCCTTAATTTCTTCCCAGGCAGCTAAGTGGTACAGTGGATAAGAGCACTGGGCCTGGAGACAGAAAGACTAGAATTCAAATCTAGCCTCAGGCACTTACTAGCTATATGACCTTGGGGAATGACTTAACCTCTGCCTTCATAAAACTGGAGAAGAAACTGGCAAACTGCTCCATTATCTTTGTCAAGAAAACCCTATGGATGGTTGATCCACAGGGTCATGAAGAGTTGGACATGGCCGAGCAACAAAAACAACAAATTTCTTCCTGGTTGTATATGTATATTTTTATGATGTAAAAGTGAGATGTTTACTCTTCTGGTATACATATTGTATTCTATTTATGGATTATTCATTATCTTCCCTGACTTTAGTTCTATAGGTTACTAGAACTATCTAGATCTGTGTCCTTAATTCCTTCATTAAGGACTCTAATTTATTTAATCAGTCCCCTTATTTATTTAGACATCAGGGCTATTTTTCTCTTAATACTTTATCTACAGTAAGTGAATACTTCTAGTATTACTCATTAATGGATAAAGAAACATCCTCCTATTTTGATTTAATCAAGATTTAGTACTTATAAAACAATGAAGATGGAAGCAATAGATTTGGAGTATCAATTTAAATCTCAGGAATCACTGAGTTTTAGAGTGCTGTGGGACCTTGTGGATATTCTAGTATGATGTCTTTATTTTGCAGTTGAGAGTATAGGCCCTCAGAGGTTAAATGATTTAGCTAGTTAATGGCCAAACTCTAGATAGTTGATTTTATCAATATTCAGTGTGCATCATCCATAAACTATAGGCAAAATATGGAAAAACTGCATAGTGTGTTGTCATTATACAACTTGTTTTAATTTTAGGTGCTACTGTGGAAGATTGGTTGGAGACCACCATGGGATGGCATATCACAGGACTGCCTCTTCAACTACTGGAGGCCAAGAAGAGGAAGAATGGTCTGTGGAAAAACACACAAAGAAAAGTCCTACTGATACCTTTGGCACTATTAACTTCCAGGATGGAGAACATACCTGCCATGCCAAGGTTTGTTAATAATACTAAGATTTTATTCAGCTTTAATTAAGAATAACCTTATGTTAGTACTCTAACACAAGGAGAAAAGTTAATTGTAAGAAGGATAGTTATGGGTGCTTTCTTTTTTTTTTTTTGAAAATTTTTTTGTTAATTTTTTTATTTTTAGTTTTCAACATTCACTTCCACAAGATTTTGAGTTCCAAATTTTCTCCCCATCTCTCTCCTCCCCCCACCTAATGACAGTGTGCATTCTGAAAACCCTTTTCCCCAATCTGCCCTCCCTTCTATCTCCACCCTACCTTCTCTTATCCCCTTCCCCTTCTATTTTCCTGTAGGACAGTATAGATTTCTATATCCCTTTGCCTGTATATCTTATTTCCCAGTTACATGTAAAAACAATTTTTAACATTTATTTTTAAAACTTTGAGTTCCAATTTCTTTCCCTTCCTACCGCCCCACCTTCCCTCATTGAGAAGGTGAACAATTCGATGTGGTTTATACATGAGTAGTCATGAAAAACACTTCCATAATAGTCACATTGTGAAAGACTAACTGTATTTCGCTCCATCCTATCCTGCTCACCCCGTTTTTTCTATTCTCTTCTTTGACCCTGTCCCTCCTCAAAAGTGTTTGCTTTTGATTACCCCCTCCCCAAATCTGCCCTCCCTTCTATCATCTCCCTCCCTGTTATCCCTTCCCCCTCCCCATTTTCCTGTAGGCTAAGATAGATTTCCATACCCAATTGAGTGTGTATGTTATTCCCTTCTTAAACCAAATCCAATGACAGTAAGATTCACTCATTCTCTCTCACATCCACCCTCTTCCACTCCACTGAAAAAGCTTTTTCTTGTCTGTTTTATGTGAGATAATTTACCACATTCTACCTCTCCCTTTTTCCTTCTCCCAGTACAATCCTCTCTCATCCCTTAGTTTTATTTTTTATATATCATCTCTTCATATTCAACTCTCCCTATGCCCTTTCTCTCTCTCTCTCTCTATATATACACATATACATATATATATACATTTATATTCCCTCCAACTACCCTAATATTGAGAAAAGTCTCATGAGTTACAAATATAATGTTTTCATGTAGGAATGTAAACAGTTCAGCTTTAATAAGTTCCTTATGATTTCTCCTTCCTGTTTACCTTTTCATGCTTCTCTTGAGTTTTGTGTTTGAAAGTCTAATTTTCTATTCAGCTCTGATCTTTTCATCAAGAATGCTTGAAAGTCCTCTATTTCATTGACTATCCATTTTTCCCTTGAAGAGTTATACTCAGTTTTGCTGTGTAGGTGATTCTTGGTTTTGATCCTAGCTCCTTTTACCTCCAGAATAACATATTCCAAGCCCTCCAGTCATTTAATGTACAAGCTGCTAAATCTTGTGTTATTCTAATTGTGTTTCCACAATACTTGAATTGTTTCTTTCTGGCTGCTTGCAATTTCTCCTTAACCCGGGAACTCTGGAATTTGGCTACAATCTTCCTAACACTTTTCCTTTGGGGATCTCTTTCAGAAGGTGATTGGTGAATTATTTCCATTTCTATTTTACCCTCTGGTTCTAGAATATCAAGGCCGTTTTCCTTGATAATTTCTTGAAAGATGATGTCGAGGCTCTTTTTTTTTTTTTTTTCATCATGGCTTTCAGGTAGTCCAATAATTTTAAAATTATCTCTCCTGGATATATTTTCCAGGTCAATTGTTTTTCCCATGAGATATTTTACATTGTCTTCTATTTTTTCATTCTTTTGGTTTCATTTGATAATTTCTTTATTTCTCATAGAGTCATTAGCTTTCATTTGCTCCATTCTAATTTTTAACAAAGTATTTTCTTCAGTGAGCTTTTGGACCTCCTTTTCCTTTTGGCCAATTCTGCTTTTTAAGGCATTCTTCTTCTCATTGGCTTTTTTGACCTCTTTTGGGTTAGTCTATTTTTTAATGTGTTATTTTTTTCAGTATTTTTTTTTTAGATCTTTGTTTTAGCAAGCTGTTGACTTGTTTTTCATGATTTTCTTGCATCACTCTCATTTCTCTTCCCAATTTTTCCTCTACTTCTTTTACTTGCTTTTCAAAATCCTTTTTAAGCTCTTCCATGGCCTGAGACCAATTTCATATTTTTTTGAAGGCTTTGGATGTAGGAACTTTGACTTTGTTGTTTTCTTCTGGTTGTATGTTTTGATCTTATTTATCACCAAAGAAAGATTCTATTGTCTGAGTTTTTTTCCACTATTTGCTTGTGTTCCCAGCCAATTACTTCACTTTTAAACTCTTTGTTAAGATAGGGCTCTGCTTCCAGTGGAGGGTGTACTGTCCCAAGCTTCAAGGGTTTTGTGCAGCTGTTTTCAGAGATACTTCCAGGGACCTGTACATTTTCAGTTCTTCCAAGATGGTATGATCAAGGAGAGGTGTTTATTCCTTTCCTGGCCTGTGCTCTGGTCTATGAGTGACCATAAGCACTCTTTTCTGCCTTGGAACTGTGAGAAGGATTCCCTTTCCTTTGCCACCACAAGTTCCAGCCCCAGGACTGCCACTCAGGACCGCAATCTAGATGCAAGCACAGGCAAAGCAAGAGAATCCCTCCTCATTGCCAGCAAAGAGATCCCTGCAGTCCCCCTCTGATCAGCCACTTGATTCCCTCACTGTATGGTGTGTGGGCCAACAGCTCTGGAAGTAACCACTGCTACAGTGGCTGCTGCCCTGGGGCTGCGCTAGGGCTGGACCTGGACCAGGACCACGCTCCTCTCTCACACCCAGGTCCAACAGACCTTTCCCACTGACCTTCTAAGTTGTCTTTGGAGTTTGTGGGTTAAGAAGTCTGGAAACTGCCACAGCTTTTTGTGATTCAGTCTTCTCAGGCCTGCTTCAAGTTCGCTGGAGCCCCGTCTTTGCCTGGGTGGCCCATGTTGAACTGCACTCCTCTCCTAGCCTGGCACAACAGATCTTTCCCATCAACCATTCAGGTTGTCTTGGGCTGGAAATTTGTTTCAAATATTTGACATGTCATATGGAAGAGGGAATACATTTATTTTGCTTGGTCTCATGAGGCAGAATTAGGAACATTGTTACAGATAGTTAGATTTTAACTTGGTATTAGGGAGAACTTCCTAATAATTAGAGTTGTTCTAAAGTTAGATGATCTCCCTTGGGAAATTATGAATTCCTTTTTATTAGTGTATTTCATTTGGTTGTTGGATGACTATTGGTTAGATGTGTTATAAAGAAGTTAATGCATTAGATAGGGGTATTAATGAGGTGATATCTGAGATCTCTTTTAATATCAAGAACCCATGACCCTAAAACAAATATATGTTATTTTGGGATTTCCTGTTGTGGATTTTTTTTTTGTAACATTACCACATTTCATTAGGTATAAACAATTAATAGCTCATAGTAGAGCAAAAAGTGTTAATTGTGGGAAAAGCACTATAGTAGGAATTCCACATAAGGAAATTTTAGATTTTTAAAAATTATAGAATTTTAAATTTCCTAGTATATCAGCTAAAAACATCATACTTGTATCCCTTATTTTAATTCATTTAAATTATTAGGCTATGCAGCAGCGCTTTCTATAGTAGCAAAGAACTGGAAATAGAGTTGGTATTTATCAAATGGGGAATGCCTAAACAAATTGTTGTACATGAATGAGTTTAATGGAAAATACTGCAGTGTATGAAACATGATGGATACAGAAAAGCTTGGGAAGACTTTTAGAAACTGATGCAACATGAAGTAAGCAGAATTTTAAAAAAAACATACACACACACATATATAAACAATAAATACAATAATGTAAATGTAAACAACAACAACAAAAACACAACCAAAATTAAATTCTTTGAAGTGATAATTATCAAGCTTGGATTGAAAGAAGCAATTTGAGAAGACACCTTTATGTGTTTTTGTTGCAGAAATGAGAGACCATCGGTGTCCCATTGGTGCTTAGAATGTAATACTTTTTTGATGTCCTGTTAAGCTCTGTGGGACTTATTTCTTTCTTATTTTCTTTATACTTTATTATAAGGAGTGACTCTTTGGGAGGGGAAGAGGGGGAAAATACAGTGGGAAATGGATGACTTAGAAATGAAAGACAGCAAAAAAGTTATTTTTAAAATTATGTGGTTATGTATAATAGTCCTATGAACAACAGCAACAAAGAAACAAAATCTAGTCTCTAATCATCCATATTTACTAAAATTCTGTTCCTTAATGTTATTTATATATTTGCTAAAGTGTTTGGTTATATGTAGTGTGCCTCTTATCCTCTCAAGAACCTTGGTGAAGCTGCTTTGGGAATGGCAGGAGAGGAATTGACTTATAGTTCTTAGAAATAGATGTGTGTGTGTGTGTGCATGTGTGTGTGTGTGTAGTAAACATCTCAGTGAAATGTAATGTATCAGTAACCCTCTCTGTTTTCTCAGTTTTCTCATCTATAAAATGGGGACAATAATAGCACCTATTTCACAGGATTGTTTGTGAGAATCAAATGCACTAATATATGTAAAAATACTTTGCAAACCTTAAAATGTTGTATGAGTGTTAGCTATTATTATCAATAATAATAATGATAGCTGGCATTATTATTATTTATAGCTAGCATTAAAACAAATTGTGACTATTTATAATAACAATAGTTAGCCCCAATATATTATAATATATAATTTATTATTATAATTAATTAAATATAAGTAATATATAATCACACAATATATGATATACCATTAATAATATTTGTTGTACTATGATTATATAACACATAACATTATTAATAAACTATATCAGTGTTATTAATATATAATATATAAATACAATATAATGATTACTAATTGTGGCTATATTAAAAGACTCACTGTTTTTCTAACATTATGCTTTATTATTACTATTTATTTTTACTTTACATTATTACTATTTATTTTATTTATCTGTCTATATTTATATTTCAGTATATACGAACATCTTATGATACAAATTTGGAGCAGTTATTACATCTCATGTTGAAAGAATGGAAAATGGAACTGCCAAAACTTGTGATCTCTGTTCATGGGGGCATTCAGAACTTTGTGATGCCCCGCAAACTGAAGCAGGTTTTCGGTCAAGGGCTGATCAAAGCTGCAGAGACAACTGGAGCATGGATAATAACTGAAGGCATCAACACAGGTAGAGCCCCCCCCCCTTCATTAGCCTTCTTCATTTCTCACTTCTCTCTTTGTCTGGTCCATTCTGGGCAGTGGGTTAGTGGCCATGATGTCATCACACTTTGTAGAAGTCCTAGCGTATGTGGTGTTTTGTGGTGGATTAGGTTACAAAACTAAGTGACCTGAAAATCAAACTGGGAGGTAAATTGCATGCATTGTCTGAAAAATGCTGGTAGTGCAAAAATGAAATAACTGAAAGTTAAATTTTTTTCCTTCTGTCACAGAAGCAAGGAAACCTCCCCCTCCCCTAACTATTTTCTCCTGAGTCTCCAATTATGGAAAGATTAAAAAAAAAAAGAAATTTTTAGTTTATGCTGTCTACATTATAATTGTGTCAGCACATATTTTCAGCAATTCATTGATGCAATCATGGCCACATTTCAGGCAATTCATTTTAGTGAAATGTATTGTGATTTTATTGAATATATTGCAACTGATTTTAAAAATATTCTTTTATCATCTTTTTATCAAAATAGATCATTGCTGAGGATTCCTATGCCTCTCCTTACTTTCACTTCTAACCTTGAAAGATAATCAATACTTATTTACTATATGATTTTATATTTCTAGCATCTCTTCCAAGAGTCCCCCTCTCTATTCCCACAGCCAACATCCTTGTACCAACCCACATTGCTACCTATCTAGACTATTGCAGTACTTTTCTAATAGATTTTCCAGTGTCAAATCTTCCTTTTCTGCAAAACCATTCCTCTTCTAAAACATCTTTATTGTCTCTCTGTTGATACCCAAGTGAAGTTCAAATTTCTTGTTAGACATTCAAAGCTCTCCCCAATCTGTTGATATCCAACCAGGGTGCTCTCAAATTTTTACTTCCCTCTCTTTACTCTCTGGTCTACCCAAATTGGATTACTTTTTTTCTCCCCAAACATGCCCGGGAATTTGCCACTTTTGTGTATTTGCTTATGCTATTTCCTATGGCTAGAGTGTCCTTCCATTCCCCTTCATTGGCTAAACCACTGTAACTCTTTTAAAATTGAATTCAAATGCCATCTCCCTCATGAAAGATTCCCTTCATGTCTCTTCTGTTGTTAATAACTTTACTCCTTAGACTTCGTGTTACACTCTTTTTCTTCCTCTAATGTACTTATCATGAATTATTATGCATTATAGTTAACTATGTATGTATCTTATCTTCCAAGTAGATTATAAGCTTCATGAGGGCAGAGGCCATGCCTCATATAACTGTATTTCCCCTAATACCTAGTGGAAATGTTAATTAAACTGAACCAAGTTTATCTGACCCACTCACTTTTTTCTGACCTACCTCTAAATTAACTATGCCACGTGATCCTTGTTCTTCTCTACTTCTTGTAATATTCTTTGTCTCCTATGCTGATTTCCTTTCCTCTTGGCATGTTAAATGGGGATGTTTTAAAATATTCCATTCTTGGTCCGTTGCTCTTCTCTTCATTTCACTTTTCCTCTGATGCTTTCATTCACTCCTATAGTGAATATATATAGTATATACATATGCATATATGTGTGTATATACATGCACACATATCTATAGCTATATCTATATACCGCCTATATCTTTCATTTCTGTGCAGATGACTCCCAATTCCACGTATATAACCCAGATCTCTTTCTTAAGCTTAAGCAACATTTCCTATTGCCTATAGCAAACAATAGCTTCTTAGCCATTTTTTTCTAACTCCAGTCCCTCCCTCTTCTAATCTGTTCTGAATACACGGACAATACCAGTCAATGAACATTTATTGAACACTTGTGCTAATCACTGGGGACAAAAAGAAAGGCAAAAACTAGTCCTTACTCTTAAGAAACTCACAGTTTAATGGGGAAAATAAAATACAGGCTACTATGTACAAACAAAATCTATTTAAGATAAACTGGAAATAATCTCAGAAAGAAGGCACTAACATTAAAAGAAGATTGGGAAAGACTTCTTGTGAAATGTGGGATTTTATCTGGGACTTGAAGAATGAAGCCAGGGAGCCAGGAGATGGAGATGGGGAGGGAGAGAATTCCAAGTATGGGAGACAACCAGTGAAAATGTTGGAGTTGGGAGATGGAAAGCCTTGTGCTAGGAACAGCAAAGCAAGAAGGCCTGTATCATTGGCTGTCTGAGTACATGGAAGAGAGGTGCTAGGCATTTTGCTCAAAACAAAGGTGACAGAAGGAAAAGTTTTCTTTGTTCTGAGTTTACAAATACTGTGAATGACAGCTTTAAGCTCATCACTATAATCTTTCAATAGATCTATACTGCTTAGTTTATAATTCTTTAGCTTATTATTTAAGGCCCTCTAACATTTGGCTTTTATGGGACTTTCCAGTGTTATCTCTCACTACTCCTCTAGTAAACATTTTCACACCAGGAAAATCGATGTACTTTGATTTCTCTGGCAGTAACTTGTACTCTTCCGTCTTTGTGTCTCTGCTTATGATATTGTATTTGTTTGTATTTCCTCCTCCTCTGCCTAGCAGCACTCTCCATTCTTTCAGATGTGATTCCCATTCTCCTCCTTCATGAAGCTTTTCTTTTTTTTCTTTTCTTTTTTTTCAGCCAAAGACAAGGTTTATTAGAACATCTGTCATATTGGGCAGACTCTTAAGGAGTCTGAACATTAATTAGCAAGCTATTGGCTAGATTTTAAGAATCTGAGCAGTGACTAGATTTTAAGAATCTAAGCATCTTAATAGAGACAAGATGGACTTTATATACAGAAAGACTATGGAAGGGATGTAGGAATGGCCAAGTAATCTGGGAGGTAGGGGGAGGGGGATGGACTGTGAGGCTATAGTACATCTTGGACTTGGACCATAGATGGCCAAGGGAGAATGGAGCCTAGAGAGGATTAAGGGTGGGAAGTGGCCATAGGGAGGTAAGACAATGGAGGGCTAGATTAGGTTAAGGGTAACAGAATTGGGAGATTGGGCATAGCCACAATGAAAGGCCAGTTGATGGGATTATACTTGATGGGACCACCAGAGATTTGGCCATGTGGGAAAGTCCAGCGTTTTTCCTTTTTTGGGGCCTAGATCCCATCCTCATCATTCCCCCCTCAAACAAATGGGACCCAAATTCTTTATGAAGCTTTTCTTAATTACTACATTTGGAAATAGCCTCCTTCTTTTTTGAATTATTGCTTGTTTATTTGTATGCTATTAACCATATGCTGCCTTGTGTCATGTGATAGTTCATTTTTTTCATTCATTTTGGAGTGCATACAATATGTAAAACATTTAGGGACAGTGAGGTTTAGTGCAGGGAGCCGGCCTTGAATTGAGAAAGACCTGGGTTCAAGTTCTCCCTTTGACATGCCCTGGCAGTGTGATCTTGTGCAAAACATTTAACCTTCCAGTGCTCTAGGAAACTTCTCTTTGATTCAAAGTTGCAGGGAAGGTGACCTGCATTGGTGGAGGTAGTTTTTCCATACTTGTGTCAGTGAAATTACAGGTCTCTGTAATTACTCTGTTCCTATCCTTTAGAATGCATAAGGCATTGTACTAGGTCAATATGTCAAATTTAAAGATAAATAATACCTGATTCCTGCCCTCAAGGTACTTACTTATATTCTGATAAGGCAGTTAAAACTTATAAAAAACCTACTAAATAATACAAAGTAGATTATTATTTTATGTACCACAAAAAAGCTATGAATAAAATGGTGCTATATTTCAGATTAATGTATTTCCTACTAGATTATCAAATACCTGATGTTTTTGTTTCACAAATGTGTGCCTAGCACAAATGCCTTATATGTAGCCAGTTCTCAATAAATGCTTTTTGGATGATTGAATAGATGAATTGCAAGGAGTCTGATGAAAAGGAAATAGAAGATTAAGAAAAGGGGGAGGTTTTATCCTATCATTTATGGGTGATTGAATGGTGCCTTTTCCCATTTTCCTGGGGTATATTCTGTTCACATCTTTATATAGAACAGAAGATTGTACTTGATTTCTAAGTTCATTTTAAATTGATATTTTATTTCTACTGAAAAGATGAAAGAGATGATGGAATTTTAGGAATAAAAGAAATAGATGAAATTGAGCAAGGCTTTGTCTGAAGTACATGCTTGAAGTTTTAAGATCTTGGCAATGATGAAGATGGTTGAGTTACTTTAGGGCAACTTTCAAAAAGATTCCAAATGATGGAACCAAAATGGAAGAGTAGGAGCAGGAACTCATCTGAACTCTCCCAAATTCCCCTCCAAACAACTTTAAAATAATGCCTCAGATCTAATTCTGCAGCGCAGAACCAACAAAGGTTGGATAAAATAATTTTCCAGACCAAGACAACTTAGGAGTTTGACAGGAAAGGTCTGCCTCACCAGGCTGTGGTGGGCCTGGAGTGAAGTGCAGGCCATACCACTGCACCCATAGCAGGCCTTGGAGGTGGTTACATGAACAGCAGCAATAGCTTTAGGAGCTCTCAGCCCACAGATGGGAAAGGACTCAGACAACTGATGAGAAAGAGATTATGGGGGACCCTCTGTTGGCACTGGGTTTAGGACTCTGTTGCATTGCCCATACACAGTTTCAGGCCACAGTCCTAGAGTGAAGAGGAACACTAGCTTGTGGGTGAAGGAAAACAGGGATCCTGGTGACAGTTTGAGGGTGGAAAAGAATGCTTGTGATCCCTTACAAGGGAGTCATGTTCTTGGTCTCAATTCCAAGGCAGAAAGGAGCACTAGTGATTGTGGTGGCAGGATACCAGGAGGCATAGTCACAGTTCCAGGGCCAAGTTCCAGGGCCAAGTTCCAGGGCCAAGTTCCAGGGCTAGACTTGAGGTAATAGGGGAACAAGTTTCCTTCCTGGATAAAGACCAGAACACAGGCCAAGAGAGCAGGGACCACACCCCTCCTTAGATCATAGCACCTTGGAAGCATTAAAAATTTACAGACCCCCAGAAGTAGCTCTGAAAACAGAAGAATGAAAAACCTGAAGACATTGTCCCCTCCACTCTGGGAGTAGAGTTCAGCTTTAATAAAAAGTTAAAAGTCAAGAAATAGACTGGAAAAAAAGGAGCAAAGAACAACAACAAAGAACTTGATCATAAAGAGTTATTATGGTGACAGGGAAGATCAAGAAACAATTTTTTTTTACTAGTTAATTTGTTTATTTTTAGTTTTCAACACTCATTTCCACAAGATTTTGAGTTCTATTTTTTCTCCCCATCTCTCCCCTCCCCCAACCCCCAGATGGTGTGCATTCTGAATACCTCTTCCCCCAATCTGCCCTCCCTTCTGTCACCTCCCTCCTCTTCTCTTATCCCTTTCCCCTTCCATTTTCCTGTAGGGCAGGATAGATTTCTATACCCCATTGCCTGTATATCTTATTTCCCAGTTGCATATAAAAACAATTTTTGACATTCCTTTTTAAAACTTTGAGCTCCAAATTCTCTCCCTCCTTCCTCACCCTCCCTCATTGAGAAGGCAAGCAATTCAATATAAGTTACACATGTGTAGTCATGCAAAACATTTCCATAATAGTCATGTTGTGAAAGACTACCTATATTTCCCTCCATCCTATCCTGCCCCCCATTTATTCTATTCTCTCCTTGCAAAACATAATTGGCCAAATGCTAAAAGAGGTACAAAAATTTACTGAAGAAAATAGCTCTGTAAAAAGAATTGGCTAAACAGAAGAAGAGGTATAAAAGTTCACTGATGAAAATAATTCCTTCAAAATTAGAATTGGGCATATGGAAACTAATGACTCCATGAGACATCAAGAAACAGCAAAATGAAATAAAAAATATTAAAAAAAATTTGAAATTTTTTTTGGAAAAACAACTCTCCTGGAAAATAGATTGAGGAGAAATAATTTAAGAATTATTGGACTACTTGAAAGCTATGATAATAAAAGAGATCCTAGACATTACATTTCTAGAAATTACCAAGGAAAACTGCTTTGATATGCTAGATCCAGAGGGTAAAATAGAAATCGAAAGAATCTAATGATAACCTCCTAAAAGTGATCCTAAAGTGAAAACCCCTAGAGAACATTATAGCCAAATTCCAAAGCCCCCCAGGACAAGGAGAAAATATTGTAAGCAAACAGAAAGAGATAATTCAAATATTATGGAGCCATAGTCAGGCTTGCACAAGACTTAATAGCTTCCACATTAAAAGACTGGAGGGCTTGGAATATGATATTCTGAAAGGCAAAGGAGCTAGGATTATAACCAAGAGTAACTTACCTAGCAAAACTGGGTATAATCTGTGGGGGGTGGGGAATGGACATTTAATTAGAGGATTTTCAAGCATTCTGATGAAAAAACCAGAGCTGAACAGAAAATTTGACTTTCAAATACAAGACTCAAGAGAGGCATAAAAAGGTAAACAAACAGAAAAGAGAAATCATAAGTTATTCAGTAATGTTAAACCATTAACATACCTGTGTTGGAATATGGTAGCTGTAATTCCTAAGAACTTTATCATTATTAGGGCAGTTAGAAAGAGGATCCTTAGACAGAGGGCATGGGTGTGAGTTGACTATGATGGCATGATTTAAAAAAATAAAATGAAGGGGTGAGAAAGAGAGATGCACTGGGAGAGGAGGAATGGGAAAAATTATCTCACATAAAGTAGTATGTTTCTATACAAATTTTATTTGAAATAGGGGATTGGGAGTAGAGGAATGAAGAGAAGACCAATGTATGAAAAGACGATATAGGAAGGGCACACCTATAATGGTTTTCCCTTGAGAAAGGGAAATGGTGTAGCAGATAGGATGCTGGATTTGAAGTCAGAAAAACCTGGATTCAAATTCTCCCTCAGACAATTACTAAATGTGTGACATTGGTGAAGTCACTTAACCTTTGTGGGCCTCAGGAAAGGAAACTTAGCTGTATAATGAGGGGATCTAATGGATTCTAGTGGGGATATGACATGAAAGTGGGGATATGACATGAGAGAGTTAAGGTAAGCAAAGGACAGAGGAAGAATATTGTGAGTGTGTAGATTGGGTGTCCAGTGAGGAAGGTGATGCCAAGACAAAGTAGGCTTTGAAGGAGGGATGGGATAAGGAGAAGAAACTCACTTCATAAAAAGAAAAGAACCTTGAAAGGGATGAGGGGAAGCACTGGGATTAGATTGTGAGCTACTTGAGAGCAGGGACTGTCTTTTGTCTCTTTTTGTATCCCTGGTACTTAGCACAATGCCCGCACATGGTAGGTGCTTTATAAATGTTGATTGATCAGTTGGGAGAAATTACAGGTGTTAAGGGCCACCTACTTAAAACATCTGCTTGCAAGGGGAACAATGCATATTCTCACTTTCCTCCTCTCTTCAAGCCACCATGTTCTATATAAAAGTCTAAAGGGAATTGGGCAGGTAAAAGGGCACAATGAGAATTAGCAGGACCTAATGTTTGACCTTTGAATTGAATATTTGTAGGAGTCTCCAAGCATGTTGGGGATGCCCTCAGAGCACATTCCTCTCAATGCCTCAGAAAAATCTGGACAGTTGGAATCCCTCCTTGGGGAATTATTGAGAACCAGAGAGATCTTATTGGAAAAGATGTGAGTAAAATAAGCCTTTAAAAAAGTTAATACTTTTTCTTGTTTTTAATGGTGATAGAATGAAGAAATCTCCTTTTCCTTTCTTAAGAGGGAAGCTTTCTTGCTAGTGAATTGTTATGATTTTGATTGTGAAGAGTAATCGTCAAATAGTTTTCTACTGACAAGATAGCAGTAGTTGTGTTCTTAACAAAAGGACTCTTCTTATAGACTGTTAGGATATCACACTTCTAAAAATGTGTTGTAGGACTCCTATTGAGTTCTTATGTCTGAGTGTTCCTTGAAGTGTTTAATCTTACATAAAGGGAAATATTGACCTGAAAACAAATAATCACTAGAGTGGTTCCAATTTCTTCAGTTCTTTCAGATGATTAATTTTTATCAAACTCTAAGTAATTCTTTTGGCAGTTGCTGAAGTAGTTTAGCTTAGAGTTGTATGCATAGTAGGCTCATAATAAATGTTTGTTGGTGTTTGAGGGACTCATCAGCAGAAAGTTCAGCAATAACTGCTCATAAAGAGTAGCATCATCATTATCATCATCATCATCACTGTCATCATCTCCTTCTATTACTACTACTACTACCTACTACTGCTACTACTACTACTACTACTTCTACTACTATTACTACTACTGCTATTACCAACACCACCACCGCTATTACCAATAATTGACATTTATAACATTTATAACTACTTTAAGATTTTCAAAGTCCTTTATATCTGTTAACTCATTTGAGTCTTAGTCTAATGACATAGATATAACAACCCTGTGGAGTGAATATTGCAGATATGATTGTCTCCATCTTGCAGATAAGGAAACTAAGGCTTAGAATGGTAAAGTGTCTTGCCCATAATAGGTCAGCTAGCAAGCACTAAAGATAGAATTTGAACTGAGACCCTCCAGATTCTAATTGGAGCACTCCATTCACTAAGATAGAGCTGGTATTGAATGAGACATTATATAGTTCACTCACTCAATCAACAAGCATTTATTAAGCACTTAAAAACAAATACAAACAGAAAGAGAGACAGTTCTTGACTTCAAGGGGAGAAGGTGTCACAAAAGAGGAAGCTGAACAGGGGAAGATGTCATGGTAGAGAAAGTCACTGGAATGAAGACATGTTGGGCCTAGTGATCTCCTTAAACAGAAGTTCTAGGAGGAGTCATCTAGTCATCTAGAAAGGAGAGGCCCAGTGTAAACTACTTCCAGTGTATAAAAGGACTAGAAAGGACTGGAGTGATGTGTACTGGTGAAAAGTATTTCCACATCTGAAAAAACCATGGATTCTTATCTAGAATTATTGAAGAAGATGATGTTGATGCTTTCTATAGGGCGAATTGCTATTTCATTTGTTTATGATCATCCTTCTGACTTGAGATATTGATTGGTTGGAGACACTGCGATTTAATTAGCAGAGTTATTTTCATTACTAAGCATCACTAGGAGTTGTGATTTCTTAAATGTAGGTAACTGAATCTATGAGCTCTATGACTCCAGTAGATAAGTTCTGTAGAATAGCTTGAGGCACCCTAGAGAGCAAGGGACTTGCCCAAGGTCAAGTCAACAGGCAGCAAGCACTTATTAAGCATTTACTATATGTCAGGTATCAAGTGAAGCACTGGGGATAGAAAGAATTGTTGAGCTTGGGTTCTAGAAGATAAGAACCTGCCTCTAATACTTAACTTTGTGATCCTGTGAGAATATGAATTCCTGGAGAGTAGAGACTGTCCAACTTTTCTACGTGTAGTGCTTTACATACAGTATGTGCTTAATAATTGCTCATTCATTTATTCATTCAAAACTAACCCTTAACCTCAAGGTACAGTATTTTATGTCTTCTTGAGTCCAAGCCCAGCACTCCATCTACCATGCTGTGATGCTCCTATTATTATCATTATTGTTACTATTGTTGTTATTATTTTTATTATTCTAGTAAAATAAGAATCTTCAGTTAAAAGTACCCAGATTTCCATATTTTACATACGTTTTTCATTTTCTTTTAACTGGACCTTGTAGTTTTCCTCCTTAAAGGAATTCTTTCCAACTCTAAGGAACTTCTACCAGTGTGGATTTGTATCTTTTCTTCAGTTGATGGTCTTAAAGAGTTGTGTATCCTCTTGCTTTGTGTACATCTGAGACCTTAGTATCAGGTTCATTTGGTATTGGGATTCACTGGGACTCATTCACTTTACAACTTTATGATTTTCAAACTCAGGACTTGGACCTTTGTTCTCATTTTTGATTGCTTTTTGCTCCCTTTGATCACTCAGGTAGTCTGCATGTACCAGACTCTGGGCAATCCCCTTAGCAAGCTGACCACCCTCAACAGCATGCACTCATATTTCATTCTGTCAGATGATGGTACTGTGGGGAAATATGGAAATGAAATGAGGCTGAGGAGGAACCTAGAAAAATACCTGTCATTGCAAAAAATACATTCCCGTAAGTACTATTTGGCTGTCAGTAAAGAAGTATTTATAGAATGTCTAGTATGAGCAAAGAAGGCACTGTACTAGGCACAGTGGCACTTATTGGAAAAAAAAACTTAGAGGTATCTAGCCTAACTCTCTCATTTTTCATATGAGGAAACTGAGGCTAAGAGAAATTAAACAACTTGCTCATGTTTATATGACTACTATATGTCTGAGGTAGAATCCAGATTCAAGTCTTCTTTATTTCCAGACCAAGCACTCTGTCTGCTGTACCACCACCTGTCTGTAGTAAATAGGAAGAAAAAGGAACAAAACAAACATACATTCAATCACAATGAACAGAATGAGATAGAATGTATTAGTGGGAATAATGAATTCCCCTTGAAGTGGTCACATTATTCAAATTTGTCCTGAGTATTTCCATTGCATTGGGAACAGTTGTCATAACTTATATAACTATGCCTTGGGACCTAGCTAAATGTTAAATTATGTGGTAAGTCTATAAAAGTTTAGAGAGATAAGGATGGTGATAGAATATGGAAGTTCTTGATCCCCTAGTAGTGAAAGAATTGGGGAGCCATTGAAGATTTTTGAGTAGGGGAATAGAATGATCAAAATAGTGTTTTAGGAAGAGCATTCCAGGATGTAGGTGGATTGAACGAGATCTTGGAACCGAGGAGATCAGTTAAGAGGCTATTGTAGTAATCTAGCAATGAAATAATAATGTGTCTTAATTAAGGTGGTGGCAGTGGGAGTGAAGCTTTTAAATTTAGGGGAGGAGCTTGGTCCTTTGTTCCTCTATAGCCCATGAAACATGCAGCTAGGTGGCATGATGGATAGAACACTGGACCCAGAGTCAAGAAGATGTGAGTTCAAATAGGACTTCAGATATTAGATGTGTGGTCCTGGGCAAGTAACTTAACCTCTGACTGCCTCAGTTTCCTCATATGTAAAATGGGGATAATAATAGTACTTACCTCCAAGAATTGAGAGGATTAAGAAAAAAGGCAATATTTGTAAAGTTCTTTGCAAACCTTAATGCCCTATATAAATACTAGTTGTTGTTAATAATTATGTTGTTATGGATACAGAAGAGGTTTTACCAGAGAAATATAAGAGTTACCAAGAGGTACTCCTCGAAAGAAGATCATACATTCTTCTGGACTATTGGCAGATGCTTGAAATTTCTTTAATTTTAATTTTTGATTCCTATTAAAAACTGAATGTGGGGCAGCTAGGTGGTGCAGTGGCTACAGCACCGGCCCTGAAATCAGGAGGACCTGAGTTCAAATCCAGCCTCAGATCAAACACTTGACACTTACTAGCTGTGTGACCCTGGGCAAGTCACTTAACCCCAATTGCTTAAAAAACAAAAAAAAACTGGATTTAAGGCAGTGTACTATAGTGGATATAGAACAGGAAGAGCTAGGTTTAGGTCCTGCCTCTGACACACAGTAGTTGTATCACCAGGCAACTCTCTAATGCTTTAAGTTGTGAAACAGTTGCTTAGTTATTTAGTTAGTTGAGTGTGTTTCCATACCAGTAGTTGACTTCACCAATGAAATCATAGTTCTCTACAAAAAGCAAAACAAACCAGCCCCCACCTCCCATGTCCTTAGAAAAGTAATGAGTAAATCATTAATACCATAGGATGAATGAAGGAGCTGAGAGGTAGGCTTTGATTACACAAGGGAGACAAAAGTCCCCAGAATGTCCACAGTGGTGGGGATGAAAGAGAAGAGAGGAACCCACTAGGAGAAAAAAAGTACAAAACTGTGGTTCTTAAGATAAATTTAACCTACTTAGATATTTTGACTGAGGCTACCCTTTTGGAATATGTCAGATTCCCCATAGCTGTTTGTGCCTGTTTCACCAAATCATTCTGTATTCAGCTAGGTAGCCCAGTGAATAGAGAGTCAAGAAGACTCATCTTCCTGAGTTCAAATTTGGCCTTAGACACTTGTTAGCTGGGTGACCCAGGGCAAGTCACTCAATCCTGTTTGCCTCAGTTTCCTCATCTGTACAATGAGCTGGAGAAGAAAATGGCAAACCACTCCAGTATCTTTGCCAAGAAAACACCAAAAGGGGTCAGAGTTAACCACTAAACAAAAACAACGACAAAATATGTGTACATGTTGTGACCCACTCCATGCCCCCCACCGAACCTCTTTCAGGGCAGGGACTTTTATTTTTCACTTGAAACCCCCTAGGCTTAATACAATACCTGACATATAGTAGGTCCTTAATAAATTGCTTACTTGTTGATTGATTGTTTGGCTAGACTCTCTAGTGGTCTTCCAGGCTTAGTGGTATAATTCTGTAATTTCCTATGAAGTCCCCTTGGATTTGTATGTCCTATATAGTCACAGATAGAGATGTTTCTTTCAAGGACTTTAAAACTTCTAAGATTTTATTTTGTAAATCAATTAATTTTAGTTTACGATTCCCATTAAAAACAAAATTTAAGGCAGTGTGGTATAGTGGGTGTAGAACAACACCTAGATTCAAGGTCATCTTCAGGGTGCTGTTCCTTTTTTTGTTGGTGGAGTTGATCGTATTGTACATTAAAAATTAGTGGTTCCAAGGACATTTTTAAAAAAAAAATGTGGCACAAGCATTACTCAGAACACAAGGCTGGTCTTCTTACTTAAAGGGCAAAGCACACTGTGCAAACATGCTATCATATTGTCTTTTTTTGCTCTAAAGTAGACGTAATGGGAATGCTACACCAACTATTCATTCATCCATTAATGATAGGATGAAACCTCCTCATTTGTGTTGCTCCCTCCATTGTTTTTCAGTCAAGCAAATATGAATTCTTCATCATGCCTTGGATTTGAAGAAAGAAATTGAATAGACCATTTTGTATTCAGACCTAATACAAATAATGAAATTGCTAAAAAAAAAAAAATTAAACTGCTGTAGAGGTTACTAGGTTCAACTGTTTGGAACATAGCCAGTATAGCTTAGTTAGTTTATTTTCCAAAAGGATGTGCTGACAGTTTCAAATTTAAAGGCATGGATTATAGTTGTTAAGAACAAAACAAAACAAAAAAACAGCCTTTCCACAATCTGAGTCTCCCCAAACAGGAATGGTTTCTCTCTTGTGTCTTTACCAGTGTAGCAGGAGACTTTTATTTGATAGCATGATCTCTCCAGTGACGCATGGGTTCACTTTACCATGACACTTCAGAAATCAATCCCTCGGAAAAAAATGCCTATGATGGATGCAAACTGATGTCCACAGTATTGGCAGGATACTTTGAAGAAAGCAAAAATAAATGTGTTTCTCTTTAGAGGTATTTAATTTTTTCTGCCACATAAAAACGCAAATAGCAATGTTCTCAGGTTTTGATAACGTAACACATTTATGAGATGATTTGTCTCTCTTTGGGGAGTATGATGTTAAAAATTACAGTTACAAATACAACAGTTCCATGTCTTTATGAATATGATAATAGTTATAGTAAAAGTATCTGGTTCCTATTTTGAAATAAAAAGCTCTATAGTGATAGAATTTGGAAAATTTAGAAAATGTTCTGCTGGTGATGCAGCAGTATGGAAATAGCTGATAGAATATGCAAAGAATTCTACTTTATTGACCATAGTATCTCTAGGGCAGTGGTCTTAGAGAGTTTGTCGTGAAGGAGTTAACGCTTCAGATTATATATGACAGTGTTTTGGCAGCATCTGTCTCGATCTAATTGTTCAGAATATTTAAATCATTCATTATGTCACCATATAAAATAAGCCTGAATAATTTGAAAAGCCCAATTCGCTTCAACATCTGAATAATGTTTTGATATTCATTTATTCATTCGTTAATTCAACAAGCATTTTTGAAATGTTTACTCTGTGCTAGGCACTGTTCCAGGTGCTGAGGCTACAAAGATTAAAATGAAACAGTCCCTGATACCAAACTAGGGAAATCTCCTTCATTTTGAAGGAGGAGAATGATAGGGGGGAGGGCAATGAAAAGACTCAACTCTAGGATTTTTTTAAAAAAAGAAGAAATTAAGTTTGCCATTTTTTATATAAGTGCTGAGTATGTGTAATAAAAGGGAACATCAAATTAACATGTACAAATTTTAAAAATAGAATTAAATTCACAAAGGGTGTAGATTATATAACAATATATCATAATCATAAAAATTCTTTAACTTAGAATTTCTGGATACAAGTGTTGAAGGCATATGGAAAAAAAAGTCATTATTTTTTGACTTCTTGGTTTGAAAAAACTACTGATATTAAAAAAAGGTATTTAAATTTTTAAGTACATAATTAATTATTGCTTAATAGATTAATCCTAGAGAGTTGTCTGAGAAACAGAGAATTTAAGTGGTTTGCCTATGGTCCCACAGCTAGTGAGTATTAGATTGGGATTTGAACTCAAATTTTTCTGACTCTTAGCCCAGCACTCTATCCACTGTACCATTCCACCTCTATAATAAAGACCTTAAAAAAACAGAGGAAGAAATTTTCTCAAACTTATCATTCACTAACAATCAGCTGTGCCATGTCTTGGTAACCAAAAATGCAGAAATAATACAATTTTCTTTGTAATTTTGTAATATTAGGAAATAATAAATTCTTTATTAGTGCTGCTCTTTTAAAATAGTAAATAGATGTGAACTGTAGTCCTTGAAAACAATGACCAGACCTTTGAATTCTTGGGCTCTAAAGAAATCAGTATAGTATACAAAATAGAATTTGAATATATTTTTCAATTTCCTTTTTTTTTTCTTTTTCTTTTTGTTTAGCTTTTTAGAAGATATATTTCACTCTGAGGCCTCTGACATATGTTGTTTTAACTTCAAAGACATCCTGCTTGATCTTGAAATACCTTGTCTATACAGTGTGATGAATAGGTGAAAAACAGATTGACTGTCTTTCAGGAAATAAATTCTGTCCTTTGGTTGAGAACCTTGGATAATAGTTTGGTTTTCTGTGTTCTGAAACAGGAATGGGCCAAGGTGTACCAGTGGTGGGTCTGGTGGTGGAAGGAGGCCCTAATGTGATTCTCATGGTGTGGGAGTTTGTCAGAGTAAGCTCCCCAGTTCCCGTGGTGGTCTGTGAGGGTACAGGCAGAGCTGCTGATGTCTTGGCCTTCACTTACAAACACACAGCTGATGAAGGGTGAGTTTGATGTCTGCTCATGTGCCAGGGTTATTAAGCACACTGAATGAATTAGGCAGGAAAGACATTTATATAAACTAGGATAAAAGAAAGCACAGAATGATAGAGCAAGAAGAGATCTTAGAGGTCAGCTAGTCTAAGCCTCTCATTTTACAGATGAAGAAACTTAGGTCCAGAGAAGTGACTTACTCAAGGTCACACAGGTATTAAGTGGCAGAGTATGTCCTAAATAAGGAAGATGGGAGATTGATACTAATGGGAGTACTGACAGTTTCATTCTGAAGCGCTTTTGTATTTTAGTTGATGCCAGAATGGCCATTGCAGGCATAAAAAAGTAGGATTTAGGATGTGGGAGTGCGTGGAAATAACAAAGAGAAGAAATTGGTTTTCCCCCTCTTTCCTAAACTCCTGTGTTGAGAATTATAGGCCATATTTATCCGTTTTGGCTAAATGGAGTGTGTATCCTCTCCCATTTCACATTCTTCAGATAAATAGGTAGCTTTGATTTGCCCACCATTAAATTTAGCGAGGTATTCTGCCGATGCTAGAAGTATAGAAAGTTTGCTGTTCTTTTAAAACCAGGCTCCAGGTGAACAAAGCCAGAGCTCCAGATCTGAAATGAAAGGTATCGGGGCAGCGAGGTGGCACAGTAGATAGAGCACCTGCCCTGAGTCAGGAGGACCTGAGTTCAAATCTGACCTCAAACCAAACACTTGACACTTACTAGCTGTGTGACCCTGGGCAAGTCACTTAACCCTAATTGCCTAAAAAAAAAATTATGAAAGTATCAGCTTCTTCTTTTGGCCTCCCTTTTAACCTTGCTCCTACTTTGTCCAATGCTTTTCTAGAGAATTTTTTAATGACATATTCTCAAGGTCTGGGTACCCTGTGCCCTCTTTGAACTTGTATCATACTTACCTCAACCTGTGGATTTATTTTGTCCCTGGCATACTTAGAGTCTCAGAAGTTAGGTACTAACAGTGCCATTCTTAGTTATATTTCTTATCTTTCTGATTACTTCTTTCTCTGTACTGTGTCAAATTATGTCCATTTGTCTTTCTCCCAGGGAACTCCACCCTTTGGTGAAGGAAGAAATCATTCATATGATTCAAAGCACTTTCAATTTTGGTCCTAAACAGTCCAATCACCTTTTAAAAATTTTGTTGGAGTGTATGGAGCATAGAGAATCTGTGAGTATGATTGATGGACCTGCTTTTTTTTTTTTTAGAAGCCTGAAACTCTTGGCTTTAATGAATATGTATCTTTTTTTTTAATCCCCCTCCAACATTCAGTTTTCAGTTTTTTTTTTAATTATAGTTGCTTATTCTATACAGTTTGACTTTCTATTCCTTTCCTGTCCCCTTTATACTGCTGGTTTCAAATCCAACTGATCATCAATCATTCAGGCAAATATGAATTCAACCATTCCATTCAATTTGACATCAATTAAGCATCCATTTTGTGCGTGGCACTGCTAGGTGCTGAGGATGCAAAAAGCAAAAGAAGGAAACAGTTCTTATCCTCAAAGTGCTTATTTTCTGTTTTTGGGACAGAACTTGTACTTACATAAGGAATTAAAAGATAATTTAGTAGGCTAATAAGTGACTTAACTTGCCTATATCAGCCATACATTTATTCATTTAAAAATTTATTTAAATTTTTACTGGTATCTTTTATTTTTATATATGCTCCCCAAGGGCACATCCTTTGTAGTTAAAAATAAAAAGAGAGGGAAAAAGTTAAGCAAATTCAACTAACATATTAACTGCTAAGAGTCTATGCAAAGTTCCACATCCTTCATCCCCCACTTATGCAAAGAAGAGAGGGTTTTAGTTATACATTTTAATACCAAGACCTGTTATGAGAGCCAAGAGGAGAGCAACTTCAAGAGAGCATCCTAAAGTATCTTTATCCTAAAGACAGTACGATATGCTATTGCTTCATCTGTTGCATGGCAGCAGGGTAGATTTCAGACAGGAGCAGTAATACAGCCTAATAGTAACCACTTGAGCACCTACTGGGTGCCAGGCACTGTGCCAAATGTTGGAGATACAAAGAGAGGCAAAAGACCTGTCTTTGTCCTCTAATACTTGGCTAATGGGGGGCCTGAGTTAGGTAGAACTTGAAATCTCCTAGTTATTCACATCTCATTTTATCCAGCAATTTTAATACTTCTATCATGAAACATTTGCTTGAGATCCTAGGAAGTAGAAAAATTTATTAGAAAATTTTCTAGGATTGAAATGATGTCTATTACAAGGCTTTCCCCCATGCTTATGTAATCTGCATATTTTCCAACAGGAAAATCTGAAATATTAGATGTATTCAATACATGAATTTGGTAATGAGATCCTGAATATTTAAGAGTTGAGTATATTCATGCATATCTGAAGTTCATCACATGCATGGAATTGGTATAACTATAATTAGAGAATTCTTAGAGTTAATCTAGATCAATATTTCATTTTACAGATGAGGAAACAGGCTCAAAGAATTTAAGTTACTATTTTAAATTAAATTGTATTTTTTCAGTGAAAATTCACCTTCTTCTTCCTCCCACACCCGCACTGAGAAAGTAAGAAAAACAAAATTCCTTTTACAAACAAGTATAGTCCAGCAAAACACATTCTCCCATTGGCCAGGTCCAAAAAAGAGTAATTCTCAGTGTGCACCCCAAGTCCCTCACTTTTGTGCATATGGATAGCATGTTTCATTATCAGTCCTCTGAGACTGAGGTTGATCATTATGTTAGAGTTCTAAAGTCTGTTTCAAAGTTGATTGTCTTGGCAACGTTCTGCTCATTTCACTCTGCATCCATTGATGCAAGTCTTTCCAACTTTCTCATTTCTTATAGCACAATTGTATTTCATTATATTCCTATACCATAACTTCATTCCTCATTTGATGGACATTCCTTCAGTTTCCAATTCCTTGCTATTGGAAAAAAAACTGCTATAGATATTTTGATATATGTGTGTATATATTTGTGTATATATACATATGTACACATATATGGATTTTTTTCCCTCTTTTTAAAATCTCTTTCTGGTACATAAACCTGGCAGTAGTATTGCTGTGTCAAAAGGTATGCATAGTTTAATAGCTTTGGAGCATAGTTCCAAATTGCTTTCCAGAATGGCTGGACCATTTCACAGCTCCAGCAGCAGTGCATTAATGTACCCATTTTCCCACAGTCCCTGTAGCATATGTCATTTTCTTTTTTTGGTCAACTTTGCCAATTTGATGGGAGTGAGGCAGAACTCTGCTAAGTGACTTCGTTAGGGGCAATTAGTTTGTGACAGGTAGTTAATTGGAGAACTGGGACTGAAATCAGATCAATTCAGGGCTTTTCCCATGCCGCTGTAGTCAATATATGTTTCATCTGGAAAATCTGCAATATTAGATATATTCTTTCACAATGAGAAACCTTTTAAAAAGTTTTGTTGATTTTTACAAGCATTTATTATCTCTACTTTTACAGTTCCTTAATTAAACAATAAAAAAAGAAAAACTCTTTTTTTTGCCTTTTGGTAAGGCAATAGGGGTTAAGTGACTTGCCCAAGGTCACACAGCTAGTAAGTGTCATGTCTGAGACTGGGTTTGAACTCAGGTCTTCCTGACTCCAAGGCCAGAGCTCTGTCCACTGCACCACCTAGCTGCCCCTAAGAAAACCCTTTTTTAACAAATATGCATAATCCAGTAAAATAAGTTCCCCTATTGGCCATGTCCAAAAATGCATGCCTCACTATGAGAAGTCTTATCTGTTTTATTGGTTCATCTTTATCTTTCCCATTAGCTTCAGCAATGATAATGGCTCCCATTCCTGTAGCATAAGTTTATTAGGCAAAAACCCTATGAAGTTGTTTTTAGGTAGTACAAAGCACTGTTTCCAGTTTGGATATGTTGAAACTGAAGCTCAGAGGCTTAGGTTCATGTTCATGAAGTTGTGTTGGAGCCAGGATTCAAAGCCAGCTCTCCCTTGACTTTAAAGCCCAGGGCTACTTCGACTATACCATACTATTGTTTCCAGGAGACATTAATGGTGTTGCAGGAAACAGATGTGTCTGATGCCACAAAGATTTTCTGTCTGTCCACTACTTAGTACCTATCTTAGGTATTTTAAGGGGAGTGGATATTTGAAATAACTTTACTTTTTTTAGATCATGTGAATAGAATGATCTAACCTGTTGTCCAATTAACACTACACTCATTTGTCTCTGAACTTTGAGGTAGCCTCTTAAGAAATCTCTAATCAACAATTTCTCCATGACACACTCATATCTTTAGTTCTTTCTTAAATGGCCATGGTTTTCTGTTTCCTGCTTAAGATATTTTCAGGGAAAGCTTCTAATCCTAACTTTGTCTTTGACATTACTGAAGGAATTAGCAATGCTTTATTGGTGGCCTGAAGGAGAAATTTGCCTTTCATATTTCTCCCAAATGTATGTTATTCTGTTTTTTTTTTAAACTTGTTCCAGATCACCATATTTGATGCTGATTCAGAAGAGCAGCAAGACCTTGATTTAGCAATCCTGACAGCCCTGCTTAAAGGTAAGGGCTCTGAACAGGTTTTAAACCCATTTTCCAGAGATTTTCCAGGGATGGACAACTTCTTTTCACTTTCTCTTTCCACCAGTGCAAAATAGAGAGTTTGTTGAGGTCAACACATTCTCTTTCTTTCTTCCCAGGTACAAATTTGTCAGCCTTGGAACAATTAAACCTAGCAATGGCCTGGAACAGGATGGATATTGCTAAGAAGCAGATTCTTGTTTATGGACAGCACTGGAAGGTACTGTGAAAGTAGCTCCTTTGTCTGTCAATTTGGGCCCTAACAGGAGAGCCCCTGTTATCTCTGTTGCTGAAGTATCTAGATCCCCTCTTGTCTTCCTAGTCTTCTTCCCCACCTGGGTTGTAGGAAGGGGTGCTAAAGAGCTTTGCCTATTCTGACTTCGTGGTCAGGCAGGGAGTGGGGTGTGTGTGGGGGAGTGGGAGGTATGTGGTGGT